CAGCAGCAGCAGCAGCAGCAGCAGCAGCAACAACAACAACAACAACCTCTATCTCTTCACGATCCACCTGCAAAGTACAGAAGTCACGCGTACAATCTTGTGAAAACTAATCAGGAATCGGAAGAGAAAAAGTGACGCGAAGCATAGCCGCGACTCGACTATACGTTTTTAACGCTGACTGAATCAACGGATTTTGTACTATAGAAACATGTATTGATTGAAAAAAACACTCGGCGTTTTGAAAACGAAGGGGTTCAAGTACTTCCGCGAACAAAGTTTAAAACACGCAAAGTATCGTGATAGAATTGCTCTAGGTTTGTTCACTTCCGGAATGAACTACACGTCCCTAGGGACATTTTCTACCATTTATGAATCCACTAGGTTGTCATTCTTTTCAGCCATCGTTCAAGCGAAAGAACTTAGATTATAAATTAGTAGCAACAGCAACCGTGTGATCAACGTATCTGGGATGAATACACGACAAAAGACTGACAAATAAAATATCGTGCGAGTTACCGCAAGTTTACGGCGAGTAAGCGACGAGAAGAATGGTGTGTCCAAAGCAGCAGCAACAAGCAACGTCTACTGTGTTGTCTCGGCCATGATTAGTCGATTCACTTTCAGTTGAAATGCTACTACATCATGATGCCTGCCCGGTTCTTTGATTGCTTGTCAATTTTTATCCCCGCAACTTCGAACAACGTCCACCGATTTTGGAATCGGCTCGAGGATGAGCAATGAACAAACAGCGGTTCGTCAATCTCCACGCTTCCGCGTTTCAAATAAGATAATTGGCTGCCTGGGATCTTGTTCAAGAACGTCAGGGGGCGCCAATTGTCGTGCTGCAATTGTGGACGATGCTTCGGTGAAGCTGAACTTTCGCGGATATTCCGCCATCTGTTTTCCATCCTTCGTGTTAATCGCACGTGCTGCGTGCGCGAGTGTGAAACGTTTCTCGCTTCTACAACGAACTACTTTAGAAATGCTTATAGGCTGTTATCGACGAACGTACAAAACGGTGTGTTCGGGAAACGATCGTACCACCGTTCAATTCCAAATTGTTCTGTGATGTAAAACTTCAGCTTGAAAGTAAATTTCTTTGAAGTCAAAAGAATGCTTAGCTAAAGATGCTTAAGTAACTAAAGATTGAATTTGTCAATTTTTTTTTTTTTTTTTTTTTTTTTTACTTCAGCAGAAGAAAATCTTTATACAAGTTTAAAGCTAGTGTAATGTACATAGCTAGAACTTTTATAGGCGATCTGTTTTATAAATGAATTCGAGGAAATTTTAAAGTTAGTTTCCCGTTGCACCGACTCACTTGTGCCAATTTCATTCGTCGATAATTCGTACATATATGCGTTTAGATTATAGTGTTCTGTATAAAAATAAAAAAAAAAAAAGTAAAGGGAGAATAACGTGACTCTCGTTTTGAATTAGTCGAAACGATGCTGAGGATTGTTTTGTGTCCCTAAATCGTAAATACTTGTAAATAAGTTGACGAGCTATTGAAAAAAAAAAAAAAGGTATAATAAATTCTATCGAGCAAAAAGGAAAAATGCGAGAGTTTTAAGGAATTCGGGGCCAGAGTTATATATATACATATATATGAATATAAATTTATGTATAAATAAATCTCTATATATATTATATTATATATATATATATATATTTTACTACGGAAAAGAAAATTTATATTCAAAATTTCTATGTTCGTTGTCGATGCGATTGTGGCTCACATTCCTCGCCAACGGAACCTAGACTTTAAACAAAAACAGTAAAAAAAAAGGAACTAGGATGTAACTAGGGACCGAAGGCGCGTGTACGATTAAAAACTGGTCTTAAGATCGTATTTTTACAAAAGACTCGACATACAAACGGAACAGAAAGTATGGAAAAGCTCTTATGAGTGAGTCAATGTACTACGTATGTACTGATGAATGCGTAATGAGTGTATGTGAGAGTAAAAAAAGAGAAATACGTTTGCGAAAATGAAAAGTGCATTAGACCAAGCGAGAGATTTATATAACTTGAATTAAAGAAGTTGTATTTGGCTACTTGTATACTGTGATCTCCGTGAAGTTTTTATCATAAAAATGCAGATGCATAAAAAAAAGAAACAATCGTGTATATAATTTTCATGAGAGAACAATTTATATTAATGATAAATATATTGAAATACACATACAAAAATTGTGTTCTTGAAGGCAACCCAAATTTAGACCGTAAACAAAGGTTTAATATTTCTCGATACGCAATTTAATACATTTAACGTGTGATTGTATCTAAAAATTATTTACTCGTAAGTACTAGACTTACGTATCAATCATGAAGATACGCTACATACCGAATGTAGATCTTACATTCATTAAAAATGGATGTTTTAAAAAACAGATATGTCCTGTAAAGCAAAAATCGATGTCTCGATCTCGATTACGATCTTAGTTCGGATTGTCATATATCGTTAGAAATATATCATATACATGTGGATCACGCATGTGTTGTAGAATTTTTAAAGAGCATCAATATTTTCAAGGATTCTTTTATTTCCCAGCATTTACAAACTTCCCTTCCGATTTACCAACAAAGTTTATATTTCATTTCTATTTACAGATTCTGTATAAAATAAAACTTGTACAATTTTAGGAAATTACGAATTGTTTAATGTATAACTCATTGCGAATGGACAAGCAATGTGTAAATAAAGATTTATTTACTTATTAAGCTAATTTTAACAGTCGGTTTATTATCCCTTTATGAAATTAAATTTTCTCAGTTGATACATATGTAAAATATGTAAAATATTCCTAAATCTATCTATAAAAAGTGTTTAAAAATAATACTTAAGATATTTACAAAGAATAAGAACTAATACTTAAAAAGATGCTATTTATATATTTTGCTTACATTTTATTAAAAAGAAAAACTCTCATACAACAGTTTAAGACTGGAAAAATATCACATCATCTGCTATCACACTGGTATTTGACTTTAAAGTACCTTCTTCATCTTTATATTCTCCATAGGTTATTCTTCCTGAGACTAGTATCCTTTGACCTTTCTTTAGATAAGTGAAAACAGTCTCGCGCAAATTTGGTTTAAAAACGCATATTCTATGCCAGTCTGTACGTTGGACAAAATCTCCTGAAATTTTTCTTATAAAATCTAATATTTTTCAAAAATTTTAAATTTCTATTTTACACATACACACTAAAATATGTTAAAATTTTTTAAATTCAAATACAATTTTCATTTTACTTTTACTTAATAGTTCATGAAATGTTTTATCTAAAAATTTATAAAATTCATAATGACAGAAACTAACATTAATGAATTTAAATAAAAAAATGTAATAAAGTAATATTTAAAAAAGTTAAATACTATAAGAAAGGTGAATAAAATAAAGTTTAACTCATTCATAAATTAAACGTTTCATAATTTCTATTTCTTACTTTATTTTAATCTACAGCATAAATCCCTATTATTTTCATCTAATTCATGTAAAATTTCTCATATGTTATAATTTAAAGCTTATTTGATATATAATCTGAAACGAAATTTACTTACCATTTATGTTTCTGAAGTTATTATGTGTAGCAAGAGAAAAAATAATAACAGGATGTTCTTCATTACCCTTTCTTTGTGCATCAGATCCTACTCTTCCTAGTAGAG